AGGACGACGACCAGAAGCGTATTCTTGAGAAAGTTCATAGACCTTGTCGCTCGAGCGGTTCATCCAGGACAGCATGCGGACGGACGTCCAAGCCCTCGGACGAGGCGCTTTGGCTGGGGCGCCAGGATTCGAACCTGGGAATGGAGGAATCAAAATCCTCTGCCTTACCGCTTGGCGACGCCCCAGCAGGCGCTCGTTCGGGCGGGCGGGAACATAGTGGGTTGGCGCGGGGGCGCAACCCCGCTGCGTCAGGCTGCCTGCGCGGCCTTCTTGAGCGCAGCGCCGTGGACGAACGTCCCATCGGCATAGAGAAGCGGCGATGCCGTCTCATGCAGTGCCACGTCGACGATTTCGCCGATATAGATCGTGTGCGTGCCGGCCGAAAGTTCGGTGACCAGTTTGCAATCGAACGATACCGGGCAGCCCTTCAACACCGGTGCGCCGGTGGTGAGCGTCGTCCACTCACCCATGTCGAGAAAGCGTTCGTCGCCCTCGATCCCGTCCATGCCGGCAAAACGCTCCGCCAGCTTGCGATGCTCGGGGCACAGGATATTGACGCAGAAGAAACCGGCCTCGCCGATCGGATCGTGGGCGCTGGCGGTTTTGTTGACGCAGACCAGGATCTGCGGCGGTTCGGCCGAAACCGAGCAGACCGCCGTGGCGGTGAGGACCGCCCCGCTGGTCCTGAAGCTTGGTGGTGATCAGGGTTACGCTCGCCGCGAGGTGGCGCATGCCCTTCTTGAAGGCTGCCGCATCGATACTCATGGCGTGACTCTAGGCCACGCCGGGCGGCTGCCGCCACTGCAAACGACGGCAAAAACCGGCCGCTAACCCTCGGGCCGGCCAGCGAAATCGGCGCGATGGAGGCAATTCTACAGCCTCCGTGTTGCAATAAAACCTTCATCAGACTGTCGTTCTTTGAGGTTGCCCCCTCCCTCGCGGTCGCTACGGTCGGTTCGATGCCTGTCTCCGCGTCCCGAATCACCGCTGAAACACCCCCCGACGCCGCGCTGCGGCGGATCGCGGCGGCGTGCCGCGCCGACCTTTCCAAGTATCGCGCCATCGTCCTGGAGAGCCGCCGCCCCATCGGCATCCACCAGGCCCGCGTCGC